ATTCTGGCTCAAGAAAATGATTTACAAACATCAAAAATGTGCATATTGTGGCTTTAAAGACTTCTGATGAAGTAAAGCTTTTCAACTTAACACCAGCAGAGGGTGCTGTTGTTATCATAAAAGGCTTTGTGTTAACTCCTTTTTCTGCAGTTATTTTTTTTAAATGACCTTTTTGTGAGATACAGATAAACCATTCTGACTTTAATTGTCCTCAGTATTAAAAACATTACAGGTAAAAATTTAAATACGACTCATGAACATAATCGGATGTCATTATAACTTGTAGAGCGGTATTTATTTAAATATGATATCTATACGTTCAGTTGAACAGCGGCTGAGCCGCGTTATTCCTCATAACGACATCAGGATGGGACCTTGTTAAAGGGCACACATCTAATCCAGAATTCTTTATGAAAAGTATCAGGTAAACTTTGGGAAGTTCATGATTACTCTCCTGAGAGTCCCTCCACAAAAGGCAGGAATGTGATGTCATGTCCAGCCTCGGAGGGGTTTTATTCAGCCCAGCTCAGCTCAGCCTCTTGCACCAAACACACTCACTCACACACCCTGCCTGAACAGAGACTCCCCAGGAAACCTCGCTCTTTCTTGTTCTCATTTCCCACCAGGAACTCCCAGATCTCAGGAATACTTTTGGCTCCCGTTCTTTTTCCAATTTCCACAAAGGTAAGAGTTGCAGGATTGCAGTGGGTGGTTCATTCCATCTCCTTCTTTAAAGCTGTATTTACTGATTTTAAAGAAAATCCCTTGCAAGAAAATAAGAACAATTTAGTGCAGTTTGAGATCTGTCACAGTTAGGAGCGAAAGCAAGCCCAGCGCAGCAGAGACGAAGCATTCCCAGCTCCAATGTGTTTCTAATGATCACGCTTTCACTGAAAAAACATGTCAAGCTTTGTGGTCCTTCGGCGTTCAACAGAATATCTGGGAAGTGCCTTCGTTGGCTTGTAGAGAAAACAACTAAGAGTGCTTGAGTGTTGAAGCGAGAAAACACTTCTAAACCTCACTAATACATGTGGAAGTTGCACAAGAATAGTTGAGTAACTGGTCTCTGGAGAGACATGAGCTGGTCTATGTTCATCATAAACTGCAGGAAATGCTTAAAAAAACCCGTTTTTAGGATGTTTTACACCCTGTTACGTTATAAACACCTCACTAATAATAATCATGTTAAAAAGCATTCTTCACCTGCTCGTGTTACTGTTGCTTTTCAGACTAAAATGGTATTTTCTGTGCCAAACTGTTCATTTTTCATAGACTCAAATGAAGAAATGGGAGCAAACTTCTTAAAAGGCTTCTTTTGGCTCATCCCTTGAGTTATGGTCACAGTAAAGTGGTTTAAACCAGTCGTTCATCAAAGCTTTTAACCCACAAAACAGAGAATTGTGAGCAAAACTATCGCAGACTGACGAATGCAAACACTTACAAACCGATCCAACAACAGACTTTGTTGACCGGTAGATTACTTCAACCTATTTTTGACCTTTGCTGTTGTTGAAACAGTTCAGGTCTAATTTCCTGTCACTCATTTTTTGGCTGATTAACTAAGTTGAACGAGAGTTTGTTTTAGTAATTTTGGTCAAATTAATCTGCAAATAAGCATGAAATTTCAGTTACGACCAAAACTTGAGCGATATATTTTAATAAAATGTGTTTTTTCTTGTCAACCCAGATTTTAACGGTCACAGCTTTTAAACCGGTCACTTATGAAAAATCCTGACATTGAGTCAAACTCGTAACCCAAACTAATCCAAACTGGGTAGTTTTATTGAGATGAACCCTTAAACCCGTAACTGCATCAACACTAATGGTTTATTTTCACTAAAGTTCAGTTTGACTAAGTTGCGTTGGTTTGAAATTGCAGACACAGCGAGTTGAAACATCTGGATGTGGAGTCGTTTGTGAGGACGAAACCCAAACGTGTTGAAGTGTTTTGGCTCAACTTTGGTTAAACTGGCTCACATGTTTAATAAAGGAAGGAAGAAGTGGGGAGCAGAGGAAGTAAAGGTCAAATCCGTGACCCTGAAAGTTACCGTCCAGTTTCCTAAAGTGGGGTTTTATCCCCTGTGTTTGCAGGAGTTTCACTTAAACGAGAGATGTGCTGGAAAACAGATTTGAGAGTCACTCAGAAAGTCTTGAATGATGATTAGTAAAAAGTGTGATTTAATGGGCGTGACTGAACGGTGATGTGGGCCGGAGCCCGAGCCCAGCTGCCGTCAACACGTCGTGCACTGGATGGTCGCAGCAGCTGCTCAGGAAGCACTTTTATTAGCCACTCTGAGGGAAAACTATTCACAGCAGTGGTGAAGTTTTTACCTGTTCCTGCAAATCTGGTAAAAATAACTCAGATTCCCCCCCCCCCCCCCCCCCCCCCCCCACACACACACACACACCCAGGGGGTTGTACAGAAGTACTTTATTTTTTTTTCACAAGTTTTTTCTTCTTGATAGTGTACGAAGATGAGTCCGAGCAGCATCCTTTCTCTCCTGGCTTTCTGCTTCATAAGCAAGGTAAACACGGCTTTTATTGTTTCACCGAGATGTTTTTTAAAGAGCAAGTCACCCCCTACCAGAGTCTAACTTCACTCTCACTTCATGTTTGAAAAATGCAACAAATGCTGTTGCCTAGCAGACCGAGAGGGCGGAGCTGCTAACAAATACACACACACACACAGGCTCACGACAGCATTGTGACATCATAATGTACCAGTTTACATCATAGCATACCTCTTAGCCAATAGCGGTGGCAGATTTAAATTCAAATACAGTGCAGAGTTTTTACCTGACAACGGCACAACACTGACAGTTTTAGGCAGAAAATTTAAATTTTAACTAAGATGCACTGAAGTGCCAAATTATTGACCACACGTGTCTGCAGCACGATTAGATACTCGTTTATTTAGTTTATCAGCAAAAAAAAAGTTTATATGGGGGTGACTTGCTCTTTAAGCCCTCTCACTCCTCGAAGGAATGCATATCATTCACCTCGCATGCCAGAGTTTTATCCTGAGATCAGATTGTTGAGGAATGATGGAGTTAACGTTGTTTTGGTGACATGTTTGAATCAAGCACTCAGAGTTGATGACTTCCAACTACCAACACCCCACAATTCAAAATTTAGCTCAACGTTGTGAGCCATTTGCCACATTGCTGAGTCTAATTAGCGGTGGCAGCCATATTGAATCAGGTTTATATCCGTTAAGAGAAAACTGAGATGAATAATTGATCAAACGTCCAAACGGTGTCTCATCTTTAAAGACGTTAAGATCACGAATTTAACTTTGAAATGAGACTTTTATTTATTTCTTCCCCCCGATGGGCTGTATTCTCAGCTGCTGGCCGTAGCATCATCTGAGATTGAGGACCAGAGGTTCGGGATTCACCAGAGTGAAATCGCCATGGCGCAGTATCAGTGTTTCCAGAGGATTACGAAAGAATCTCATCGCAAAACCAAAACCATCGGTGAGCAACGGTTCCGGAAGGACACTGGAAACACCTAATAGATTTAAAACAACCAAGACTTAAATGGAAAAGGAGATGTTTTAAAGGTCTTTAGCCAGTCAGACGTTACAGTTTGCATCTCCTCTGTTTGAATCAGGGCTGGAGTGCAACACGACGTGGGATGGCTGGTTGTGTTGGGATGAAACTGAAGCTGGGGTGAAGCAACAGAACTGTCCAGGCTACTTTGAGGACTTCGACACTCAAGGTCAATTTCTCCTGTTATAGAAAATGGTTCAGTTAGTTTTTAAGCAGACATTTTTTTTATACATTTTCTGGGAAACAGACTAAAATATTGACATTATTTATCAGTTAAACTTCTATAATATATTAATATTTTAAATATAATTTCGGGTGAGGAGCAGGTCTGTTGTAATGCTGGAAATTGCAAGTCTTGCAAATTTTGGGTTGATTTCTGTGATTTTAGACTAACTTTAGTCTGACGATGAAGGATCCTTATATTACATCACTAAATCGTAGCAGCAGAGGAGCGATACTATGCAACTTTTCATATTTTTAAAATATTTTTTTGAGCCAGTATGTGCTAAAACGACCCTTTACTGGGTTAATGAAATGTCACTCCATCACCTTCTGTGACCAGAATATCACACTTGCAACTTCGGAGTGCCCATCCATTCCCTGTTGGACAAGGCAGCATTGGAATCTGCTTCCAGCCCGTTTCCTGCATGTTTTAGACAGAGGTGGAAAGAGTACTAAAATTTCCTACTTAAGTACAAGTACCAAAACTTTGATAATTTTTTACTCAAGTACTAAGTTACTTATAGAGCTAATGAGCATACAGAGTTAATGTATGTCAGGGTGGGGGTGTCTAAGTAGTGCAATATCACAACGCCAGCTCACAACACGCTCGTATGCGCGTGCACACACACCACTATGCCTAACCCATTCCATAACCCTAACCTTAACCAATGGTGCTCTATTCCTAACCATAATCTAAACTCACCAAAACTAAAATCTAATCCTCACCATACCTCTAAAACGTATTAGGATGCTTGACATTGTCTACAACAGCAAAATGTCCTCCCTGAGTGCATCACAGGGACCAGATTGAAGTTTTTGAGTAAAATTGTGGGAACAGTGTGGCTGTTGAACATCCTCATAATAAAAAATGTGCACCCACATCCCCCACAGGTGAGATGCGGTGTCGGTACAGGATCTGCTCGGGTGCAAGATCGGCTCGGAGTCCTTCGACTGCTAATGACGTCAAAGTAGTTGATTGGCTGAACATGAACCTTACGGAAGTTACGTAATCACGTTACGTTGATCCAGGCAAATTTTTCTGTTGGAAAGACGGACAACTTTTATGTTTATGTTTATTTATTTAGCAGACGCTTTTATCCAAAGCGACTTACAATTTATAACCTATAGGGCATGTTGGGAACTGTGGGGGAAACTGGAGTACCCGGAGGAAACCCACGCATGCATGGGGAGAACACGCAACTCCACACAGAAATGCCGCAGCTGAGTTTTGAACCTGCAACCTTCGTGCTGCAAGGCAACAGTGCTAACCACTGCGCCACCATGCAGCCACGCATGTGTGTGTGTGTGTGTGTGTGTGTGTGTGTGCACAATTGAAACATACAATCCTAGAAAGACCTTATCCAATCAATGTGCACGTCCTGTTCTCACTGATTGGATAGAAATCCTTCCATCAAACTGTGTGTGTGCGTGCACTAATGTAGCCATCTTTACGCTGACAAAAATGTAACTAAGTAACTTTTACTTTGAGTACATTTAATTTACGATACTTTTTACTTTTACTTGAGTAAAAATTTAGGAAACTACTTTTACTTGTACTTGAGTAAAAAATTATCAAAGTATTGGTACTCGTACTTAAGTAGGAAATTTGAGTACTCTTTCCATCTCTGCTTCAAGCTAATAGGAATATTTAGATTAGACGTCGGGGAGAAATATCAATGAAAAATGAAACTGTTTGTGAACTACTACACAGAATTTGATAGTAAGCAAGTAAAAATATCACACGCTGTGACTTTAAGGCAGATTAAAACACAGTTCCTGCTAAAAGTTTTCTCAGTTCTTTAGCAAAAATAAAACCAGTGCTATTTTGGTTCAAGTTTATCCTCTATTATTCGAAAATTTGCAAACAGAAATGGCCTCCAAAGTGTGCACGGAGTCTGGCGAGTGGGAACAACACCCCGAAAGCAACAGAACGTGGACAGACTACACAAAGTGTAAAGCCAACAAGCGCATTAAGACAAACGTAAGGAAACTAAGCTGTTTCGGCTCATTTTTATCTCCACGGCAGCATTGATGGAAATGCATTCTCTGTTTTTCTTGACAGTCAGCAATGACTCACTTCTACTTGATCATGATCGGTCACGGACTATCCTTGATATCACTCCTCATTTCGCTGGGAATATTCTTCTATTTTAAGTAAGTTGCCTTCAAATTTTTTTATGTAAATGTTAAAAATTGGGTCTAACTGCATCTTTTCTTGAACATTTCCCTTAGAACTTTGAGCTGCCAGAGAATAACGCTGCACAAAAACCTTTTCCTCTCATTCGTGTTAAACTCGGTCATTACTGTTGTGTGGTTCTGCAACATGCAGAAGGGGAATTCTGTGAGTGTTTTTGTGTTATTTGCACTTGAAGATGCCTCTTACTCTTAACAGGTCATATAGTCATTTTCCTGTTTTCTCCCCAGGGCAGCTGTAAACTTCTTGCCTTCATCCACTTGTACATCATGAGCTGTAGCTACTTCTGGATGCTCTGTGAGGGCATCTACCTGCACACTCTGATCGTCGTGGCGGTGTTTGCAGAAAAACAGCATCTCACGTGGTATTATCTCCTCGGCTGGGGTGAGTTTAAGTGGTTGTGAAAAAAATTATTTTAATCTTTGATTCATAATCCTTTAATCTGATTTTACAGGTTTTCCACTTGTGCCAGCAGTCATATATTCAATAGCACGTTACTGCTACTACAACGACAGGTGAGCTTAGGATCCACTCATATTTATAAATATATAATGGATGCAGGTATCCATGATGGTGTTGCATATGTAATGATTTAAATTACATGTTATTTAATAAGCAATAAGACATAAGATTCCATAGGAAATATGAAATCCACCTTATGGATCTGTGAGGCTATTTAAACCAGAAGATTGGAACTTTTTATTGCAGGGATTAGATAACCACTTCGTATTCACTCAGAGACAACAGAAGAGAGAGAGTCAAGTTTAAAAGTTTAAAGATTTATTACTAAACAAATTAAACTAGACTAACTTTAACACTAAATGTAAGGTGTAACTAAGGTGAATGAGATGGAGAATGGTGTAATGTGGAATGTTGCTCAGAACCAGCAAATCCGAAGAAGCGATTAGTTCTGGTGGGAACTGAAGGTGATGTCTTCGCGTTAAGCTTTGGTTATTCATAAACACATTTGACGCCATTTTGTTGGCCTACATACCCTTGTGGAAGTCCCTGTTAGATCAGGAATGTCGAGGTCCAGCTGGACCCTCTCTGGAACCGAAGCCGGTAGGAAAAGCAGCGGTTGCTGACCAGACCAGTCTGTGAGATACTTCTGGGTCACGACAGTTTTGTTGGCGTCTAGCGAGACCCAAACCTGGGTCATGATGGTTCAGCTTTTATTCTGAAAGGAACCGTTGCAGCAGGTGGAACAGCAACAGATTTTATCCAGCTTGTCGTTGGTTCTTTCGGCTGAAGAGGAAAGTTACGGATTGGCCACTCCGACAACTTCTCTAGAACGCTTTGAACTGGCGTTAAAGATGGCGTGGGCATAGTTTTATACTTCGGATGTTTTGGTTTATGGTCGAATGAAAAGATGACAGATTTACCAAACACCACCAAAACCACGCCTCCGTAAGATCTGGCAGATTCTGATTGGATCAGTAAAAGTAATGTGTCGTCTCTTAATGCTACGTGAGATCAGTCCTAGTGGAAACATTTAAAGTCATATTACTTTTATATTCTATAGGATTATAATAAAGTAATTAATATTTTGATTTCACAGATTGGTCACATCTTATTATTGACTAACACTTTGTTTGATTAGCTTTATTAAAATAGAGTTATTTGATTTATTAAAAGAAAAGAGTCCTTTCTTCATTCTTCTCTTGAGCTGGAAAGAAGCAGTTTAGAAGCAAATGCATGAGACCTTGAGACCATATCTCATGCAGACTAGTTCTGTGTCAGAGGAGAGGGGGAAAATGACTTTTGGTGGAAAACAGTCATTTCATTCTGCTACACATATTTACAGATGTTGGGTCAGCCCGGCTACGTCCTTGCTGTACATCATCCATGCTCCAATCTGCGCTGCACTGGTGGTGAGTGACTTAAAGAGACAATGTGTAGTTTTTACTTTAATCTCTGGAAATATCCATCAAAATGTTGTTAAAAATGAATAAAATGATGTCCAGTCATTAAAAATATTGGAGGCTTCGTACCATATATCCATATAAAATCGAGTCTAAATTACATAGGGTGCAGGTCTAGTGTCTTTGGGGGACGCCGTATTAGACGCCATGTTTCCTTCTGGTTGGCTTGGTTTCCTGTGACTCTAATAACGAAACTGCTCAAGTCTTCCCAAAACATATACTGAACAAAAATGTAAACACTTTTGTTGTTGCTTCCATTTTTCATGAGCTGAACTCAAACATCTGAAAATGTGTCTACATTCACAAATATTGTTCTGAAATCTGTCTTCATGTGTGTTAGTGAGCACTTTTCCTTTACCAAGATAATCCATCCCACCTCACAGGTGTGGCATATCAAGGGGCTGATTAGACAGCATGAATAATGTACAGGTGTGCCTTAGACTGCCCACAATAAAAGGACACCCTGACATGTGCACAGTTTTGCTGAATGGGGGGTGGTAGGGCAGAAAACCAGTCAGTATCTGGTGTGGCCACCATCTGCCTCACACAGGGCAACACATCTCTGTCGAGCTGATCAGGTTGTTGATTGTGGTCTGTGGGATGTTGGTCCACTCCTCTTCAATAGCTGTGCAAAGTTGCTGAATATTGGCAGGAAGTGGAACACGCGGTCATTTACGCCGATCCAGATTTTCCCAAACATGCTCAGTGGGTGACATGTCTGTGTTGGTCATGCAAGAACTGGGATGTTTTCAGCTTCCAGAAATTGTGTCCAGATCCTTGCAATATGAGGCCGTGTGTTATCATGCTTCAGCATGAGGTGATGGTCGTGGATCATTGGCACAACAACAGGCCTCTGGATCTCGTCACGGTACCTCTGTGCATTCAAAATGCCATCAATAAAATTCACCTATGTTCGTTGTCCATAACATACACCTGCTCATACTTGTACCCCATCGCCACCATGGGCCGCTCGTTCCACAACGCTGACATCAGCAAACCGCTCACACACACGACGCCACACACACAGTCTGCCATCTGCCGTAAACAGCGAAAACTGGGACTCATCTATGAACAGAATGCATCTCCAACGTGCCGAACGCCATTGAATGTGAGGGTTTGCCCACTCAAGTCGGTTACGACAATGTTCTGCAGTCAGATCCAGACCCCGATGAGGATGATGAGCATGCAGATGAGCTTCCCTGAGATGGTTTCTGACAGTTTGTGCAGAAATTCTCTGGTTATGCAAACTGATTGCTGCTGCAGCTGTCCAGGTGGCTGGTCTCAGGTGATACTGGAGGTGAACATGCTGGAAGTGAAGGTCCTGGGCTGGTGTGGTCACACGTGGTCTGTGGTTGTGGGGCCGGTTGCCAGGGGTGGACTGGGACAATAATTCAGGCCGGGAATGTTGAAACCATCCCAGGCCACTGCCCAATTAACGCAAAACACTAAAAGTGAGTCAAGTTGGGCGCCCACTGATGTAAAAGGGTAAAACATCCAAATGAAAACTTCACATGTGCCCTACATTTTTCCTCTAAAATATAAATATTTGTGTTCTGCTGCTATAATCTGTGCTTACGTTGCATAAACTGAAATTATATTTAATCCTGTAAAATGGCACATTAGATGAAATTGACCAGACACCATCATCCACCTGAACTTGAGACCAACAGGGGCCAGACTATATGTCTGGGTCAAGAGAATCACAACACAAGCAGAGAAATAAAAAAGTGTGTGTGTGTATGGGGGGTGGGTCCGCCCATTGCTAAATGACTGCATCATATATATATATATATATATATATATATATATATATATATATATATATATATATATATATATATATATATATATGTATGTATATTTGCCAGACCCCGACAAAGGGAGAGGATGGGGTGTCTTTGTGCCCAGTTTGCTGTGTGTGAGCATCAGGACAGCAGATGCCCTGATGAGCTGCATGACGGATTGCTCATTTACATATTACACACGTCATGACGGCAATCACTGAGCAGGCCTGTTTAATGACCAGGCCACCGGGAAATCTCCCGTTCCTCCCAATTACCAGTCCACCACGTCGCTCCCTCAAAGGTTGTGACATCTGTGGCATTGTGTTTTTTGATCAAGGGTGTCCTTTTATTGTGGTCAGTCTAAGACACACCTGTACATTATTCATGCTATCTAATCAGACCCTTGATATGCCACACCAGTGAGGTGGGATGGATTATCTTGGTAAAGGAAAAGTGCTCACCAACACACATGTAGACCGATTTCAGAACAATGTTTGAGAGCCATGGGTCTTTTGTGTATGTAGACAAATTTTCAGATGTTTGAGTTCAGCTAAAAAAAAAATGGGAACAAAAACAAAAGTGTTGCATTTTTTTTTTATTTTTATTTTTTTTTGCTCAGTGTATGTGAAAGACCAAAATTGAAAATGCGATCAAATATATTTTGGCCAAATGGCATAGGGAGCCTAAGTCTCCTCCCTTTCCGGTTGGCTCATGGGTTCCCGGAATTACAAAAAAACAAATGGAAGTCAACGGGGTTAAAAACGCCATTTTCTAATCCACTTTGCCTTATGCCCTGGATCACACACATGTGGTACTTCAGTTTAAATAAAAAGTAATGATGGGTGATTCGACCACGCCTGTCATGTACTTAGAGATTTATCAGCTTGTAAAAGTTGGTAATTGGCACGACTACAAATTAGGTATCGGTATGTTGCATGTGTGACGTCACCACAGAATCGCCTCTCCTCTAGCATAGCTGCTACTAACCAAATGGACAGATTTATGGTGTGTTTTTTTTCCTTCTAAAGGAAGGATTAGTTTGCTGAACTTACAGCCATTTTCCCTCTGTTTTTCTTCATGTTTGGTTCAATGACGTCAATTTGGTGATGCCCCTTTGTAGTCCTGAACTTATTTTCACACAAAACCTAATATAACTTTTGGCCCCGTTTGAAAATAAGCGCGTTCTTGGTATCAAAATGTGCTTTTAAAATTCACAGACATCATATGTGAAATCCATGGCATGAAACAAGCGTAATTAGAAAATAGCGTTTTTAGCCCCATTGACTTGCATTCCTTTTTCCGTTCTTCCGGGGACCCATGGTCCGGAAGTAGATGAGCGTGACTTAGGTTCCCCATAGCTGTAGTATTATGACATCATCAGCAGGCACAGAACCCCAAGCAGATCCGGAAACTACAGCATCAGAAAACTACAATCAGCACTGCATTCTCTCGATGGAATTAACTGAAGGACCATCGAAGTCCGAGGAGTCACGCTGAGGTTGCACGCTTTCCAAACAAAATTTACTGTAATGTTTTTTTTTAAACTAGGGACAGTCATGGCTATATGGTGTAAAACTAACCTGAAATGTATGTATGTACTGCCTTGTAACAGCAAGAACCTACACACTGTCACCTTAATCCAGATCTTTGATTTCCTCAACAAAATCATAGACATTCATTCCACCTTGATTTGAATAACAGCCATGGAAGCCAACCCAATCCAAGATGGCCGCCATACCTGATCAATCTTGGCCAACAAAAACATGACTTAGTTTTACAGACATTAGGCTGAACTTTGGTGTCGTAGTGGCAACAGTTTCCTTGTGTGGATGGTGTGCATTCGCTTTTTTCTTTGCATGAAAACCATTTATAAAAAAACTTTTGAGAAACAAAACAATCTTTCTCTTTTTAATCATCAGGTGAACTTTTTCTTCTTGCTGAACATCGTTCGAGTTCTCATCACCAAGCTACGAGTGACGCACCAGGCTGAATCCAGCCTTTACATGAGGGCAGTGAGGGCAACCCTCATCCTCATCCCTCTGCTCGGCATCCAGTACGTCTTGCTGGCGTACAAGCCCCAAGATCACTGGATCTCTGAGATCTATCAGTACATCATGACCATCCTCATGCACTTCCAGGTCAGTGAGCATCTCCTTGTGTCAGCCACTGAAGTCAGTACCTCATGCGTGTTTGCATCTGTTGGCGATAGACAACAATAGGCGAGGGTGTTTCCAGGATTTCCTCGCGTGATTTTTTTTCACACGGGCAAAAACGTTTAGTGACAAATTTGTCGCAGAATCCTGCTGGAGACAAAAGCCTTTCTCAGTTTAGTTTCCAGGACTCCAACAGCATGAGTGGGCGGCAACAAACTTTTAAACAGAGACGACACATTGTGATTAACACAAAGATTTGCATGAGTGTTCCCATGTCGTGTGCAAATTTACTGTGATTTCAATAAAAAATGTGCCCTTTTTTTAAAAGCAACTTTGCGTATCCAGTTAGCTGCCAACAGTAGACGCCTGGGGATAAACTAAGAACTGCAACGCCCTTCTAACTGGTCTTCCAGCCTGGACTGTGAGACCTCTTCAAATGGTCCAGAACGCAGTGGCGCGTCTGGTCTTCAATCAGCCAAAAAGAGCACACGTCACCCCTCTGTTCATTGAGCTCCACTGGCTACCGCTAGCAGCACGCATCAAATTCAAATTGCTAACACTAGCGTACAAAGTCCGAGATGGTACGGCTCCCATCTACCTGAATCCTCTTGCAAAGGCTTACGTCTCGGCCCGGGCGCTCCGGTCATCACAGGACCGTCGGCTAGCAGTGCCTACACCACGCTCAGGACAATCCAGACTCTTCTCATGCATCGTTCCACAAATGTGGAATGACCTTCCAAGCACTGCCAGAACAGGGGCTTCCTTTTCAATTTTCAAGAAACTCCTGAAGACCCTGCTCTTCAGAGAGCATCTTCTAAACTAGCACCCTCCCTGCACCCATCCCCCCTCTCTACCGTCCACTCCTTGTTCCCTCCTCTCCATGACTGATGTCAAGTTGTTGTTATTGTTGTAGTTAGCCTCAAGGGCAACATGCCGATTATCACTTGTAAGTCGCTTTGGACAAAAGCATCTGCTAAATAAATAAACATAAACATAAGAAACTTGTTTAATTTGTAAATGTTCTAATGAAAGCTGTTTTTAATTCAGGGTCTGCTGGTTTCTACTATTTTCTGCTTCTTCAACGGAGAGGTGAGTAGTTATCGGATCTCAGCAAATTATTCCAAGAACGGATTAAGAATTATAACATCATCACACAGAAAACATAAGAAAACAAATATTTAATCCAGTTTGCAACCAAACGAATGCACCAAGATATGCTAACTAATGTATTTTTAATGGTGTAGGTGAAGCTTCAGTTGTTTGAGGTTTTGAAGCTGCTACTCCTTACATTGAATACATTTTTGCAGATGTACAACTTTTTGATAATTTAGGCACCGATGCAAAGACTAAAAAGTGTTTTCTGATTGTAATATTCAAGACATAAATGACCAAATAAATCTTTTAATAGAAATTGTCTCACAGGTAAATTACGGCAAAAATATAATACAATACAGTATTTGAGAGTCATGGAAAAACCATACAAAAAGAGGCTGTTTTAGAAGTAGTTGACTTTGCTTATTATTTCCTCTAATTTCTTAGGATTAAAAGTATAATAAAGTCTAATAAAATAGAAGCAACAAATTTTCTATCACTTCCAGGTTCAGACTGTTATAAGGAGACAATGGAATCAACAGCGGTTGCAGTTCGCCGGGACTTTTGGCAATCCTGACTTCTTCCGCACCACGTCTTACATGGGAACGTCGCTCACCGAGGTCCACCGATGCTACAGCATCGAGAGCCACACGGAGCACTCAAACGGCAGAACGTACTCCGACATATTCAGATCGGACAGCCCTTTTGTGTGAGCGCGGCGTTCCCGCTCTTGTTCTCTCCTCTGAGATCTCCATCTTCTAGGAGTGTTACAAAAAAAAACAGACTTCCTTTTAGGGGGATTTTTACCCCCAAGATGCTGACTATTTTGAAAAGTCAGGTAAAGTATCTTTTTAGTTTGTATTTTTACGGAGTTTTTGTTGGACACGAGGAATATTCTATTCCAGAACTATCTTTTGAAAATACAATTTTATTACCTAATAATGCGCAAAAATATCAAAAACGAGCTTATATTCCAGACTGTGTGGACACTTGCCAGTAATGTGATTTTTTTTTTCTCGAACCCAACATACATTACGTTAACGATAGTTCAAGAAGTTTTTATATCCAAAGTAATTTTACGTCTGTTTTTAGCTTCTCCTACCCCAAGCCTAACCATCAGTTGATTGATATGTTTCAGGATGCCTGCATTGCCAGCCTAGCATGTATAAGTACAGATGATTTACATTTAAAGACCAAGTTCACTCATAAACAGTTGTTTACTGGTTCTTTTTAAAATGTGATTTGTCAATCTGAGTTTAACATGTAGAATGTTTCCCACCACTAACTCCTATATTAGCTGCTGGTAGAAAACAGACAGGAAAACACTCTGATTTAAAAAGCATGCCAGTTGCGTGTCACAGTTAGCATGGCCTCACCATCTTGGATCACTGTGGGGCATGGACGTAATTTTCACTTTAGAAGTGTGTGTGTGTGTGTGTGTGTGTGTGTGTGGGGGGGGGGGGGGGGTATCTTTACAGTATGCTCTAATGGGAAACAGGCTTCAATACAAATGGTTGTTTTCTGCTTGGTCCTAGAGCTCCACCAGTGTCAATTTAATATAGTGTAATATTGTTTTTGGATGGTAAAAAGTGCAGGGGTCAAAACTTGACTTTGGAAAAAGTGGGGGGGACATGTCCCCCCCCCCCCCCCCAAAAAAAAAATTTACGTCCTTATTTAGAGCCCAGGAGAGAGCAGGGCACGTCTCGGCTAGTGGAAGCTAACCATTAGCATTAGCAACTCCACCACACAGCGGAACTCCTTCAGACTTGTGTTTTTTGTGGAGATAAAACATCCAAGTTGCAAAGCAAACAGATTCAATGGTAGAGATTTGTTGCTGTCAGCCAATCAGAGACAAGATGTCCGAATATCAGAAAAATAGACTCTAAATCCTGCCGTCTTCTGTTTATACTAGAGACTTAAGAAGTGAGGTGCTACCCAAACAAAATAAAATTAGAGCAATATAGTTATGACATTATAACGTGATGTCGCTCTAATTTTATTTTGCTTGGGTGGCAGCTCTACTCTTCTGTAGAAGACCACTGCAAATGTGTTGAAAATATGAGCGAACTTGGTCTTTAAACACAAATATTTAGGTTAAAATAATTTGGTAGGTGTGTTAAAACTTTTAATTGGTACTTAAACTGTAAGTTTTTTAGGTGCCCTAGAACATTTAAAAGGTATTTCAGATCCTTTCAAGTGAGATTCTGTGGAAATGTTCAGGTATTATCTCACCTGAAGCTGAGCGCGTCAAAAACAAACGCTTGGTCAGCCACCCTTTGCGTCAGACCCCCGACGCCAAAAATGCCCTTTTTCGTCACTTATGTGCAGTGTTGCCAATATTCCTGACGACTTTTTGACCCCCCTCAACGACTTTTTTTTCCAAAAAGCGCCTAGTGACAAACCTAGCGACATTTCTCAGGACCCGTTGCTACTTTCTGTAGAACTTTCTTGTAGATATTCCCTACAGATTAGCAACAAAGAAAACATTTGCACTCTGAACCGTTCTTCAGGGAGTTAGGAAAGAGAATGATAATCTGCACATGTGCACGACGACTGACCAGTCGTAAACCGTTTTCGGCCGGGCCGAAGACAAAGGTGTAGTTGCAGAGCTGGAGACCGCCGAGTGACGTCTACTGCTGCTGTAGGCTCACACTTCTACTAGAGACGGCGCAGGCATCAACCTGTGATCTCTGGTTCTGCAGCCGTCAGACACTTTGGCTTTTCCTGCATTTGGCAAATAAAGTCAACGGGAGTTTTAACTACCGTCCCGTTTACACACGCAGCTCTGTGGCTCATCTGAATTTCCCTCAGTGACACAGGGATGGTTATACCATGAGACACCCGCTCACTTTTGCTCGGTGCGCCGTTATTATCACGATGGAGAGAAAACACAACAGAGAAGTTGAGAAACTATGAGGTGTAAAAACAAAAGCTTTTTAGGAAAATGTCTATGAGAATGAGGAGAGCAGGAGGTCTGAGATATATTCTACAACAGAACTGTTTGGATCACCACACCATATCGGTCTTAATGTCACTTTATTGATACTTTTGGAATTTATTTTACGTGTCAAAGCAATTTGGGCCATTTTAATCATACTAATTAATAACTTTAACACATAACATAGTTTTTGTTATTTTCCTCCCTTTTAGTCCTAAAAAGACCAACAAGTTTTTAAAATCTTCAGTACATATATATATCTATCTATATATATATCTATATATCTATATATATCTATATATCTATCTATATATATATATATTTATATATATATATATATATATATATATATATATATATATATATATATATATATATATATATATATATATGTATCTTTTACATGCTATTGGGAAAATGAAAGCCAATCTGGCGTAATGACGTCATAAATAGGCAAATTTGTATTTGACGTCATCTGGCGACATCTGGGTGACTTTCTGGGTCGACTTTAGCTACTTTCTATCAGGGGGAGTTGGCAACACTGCTTATGTGCGAAAAGGGTTTTTTCCCTTTTCTGACTGCAGAACCCAATGCAGCGTAAAACTGACGCGATGGGATACAGTATCCGCTGATGCGGCACCGAACCAGCTCATTTAACCGCACCTAAACCTTGACGTTTTGCTATTTATAACCTTCCCCTCACCCTCATCCTAACCTTAACCCTCTTGCTACCTAAAACGTTACTCTCACTGTGATCAAGCGTTTGTTTCCCATGCATTCTGACTGTGAAATTTCGTATTTGCCGCCCAAGGGGAACGTTAGAAAATACCATCTGGCGAGGGGGAGGTTACAAATACCCTCTGCTTTTAACCTCCACCTTGGTAGTTGAAACCTCCCCCTCGCGTTGGCTCGATCCAAACCCGACCAATGACGAGGCGGCTCCCTCCGTTCACTTCATAGAGCCGGCTTTTAGAGCGACCGACACATCACTAACGTGTTCGCTAGCAAGATGGTTAAGGTTAGGATAGGGGTGAGGGGAAGGTTAAATAAGAGGATAAGGTTAGGGTGAGGTACAATGAGCTTGTTTGGTGCCCTGGCTGCGGACATCCCATTGCGTCAGTTTAAAGCCTGGTTCATGCTTCTCCGTCAGCTCCGCAAGGGACAGACACGCACGGATTGACGGGAGCGTTTTGCTCTCATACTTCTCCGTCTCCTGGAGAGTGTTGCAAAGCAATTCCCCGCCAGGACAACAGAGGGCGTAGCGCTGTTCTGTGGTATCCTGTCATGAATCTGGTCCTAGACAGTGTGTTTATATTGTGGTTTTTGTATATAAGAGACTTTTTAACACGGACATATTTGTCTCGCATCCTCCTCCACCTTTAAACCCACGTTTCCTGTCATTTCCGTCCACAGATAAAGCTCTTGCTGCGCATCTTTTCACTCCTCCAGTCACGGGGGAATTAAACGTTCATGTTTTTAGAGTTTTTTCGCGAGGTATTCTTCAAGCTTCTCTGTGTCTGCCGCTAGTTATCCTCGGCTCTCTTTACGTTTTTGAGGGCGCAATGGTGGCGCTGTAGACAACAGCAGTGTCCTGACCAATCACAAGCTTACGTTGTCCGTTTCGACTGACGGATGTTTAGAAAAGAGAGCTCGACTCCGTCCTTGCGGAGCTCTCCAGCAGGCCCGCAAGGACGTTGCGTGTCTCCACACTGACGCAGACGGAGAAGCACGCATCAGGCTTAACGCTGCATTGGGATCTGCAGTCAGAAAAGGGAAAAACCCCATTTTCACACATAAGTGACAGAAAAGGGCAGTTTTGGCGTCAGGGGTCTGACGCGGGGCGTGGCTGACCACGCGTTTGTTTTTGACGCGCTGGGAGTGAGAATGTGTTGGTGAAAGGGATCAAAGCAAAATGTAAATGAGCCTTTAGCAAAGCTGGCAGTGTTCTTCTCTGCATTTTGATATGTTGCTTATGTGGACTCTTGCTACCCAGTGGCTGCATTGTGGTGGTAGGTTATTTTTTTTGGCTGCATGGAGGCGCAGTTGTAAGACGGTTGCAAGTTCAAGCATGGCTACATCCTTCCTGCGCAGAGTTAGCATGTTCTCCCCATGCATGTGTCAGTTTTCTCTAGGTATTCCGGTTTCTTCCAGCAGTCAGAAAAATTGCATGTTTAATGGTGCGTTCAATTCGTCCTTGACACTCGGAACTCCCAACTTCCAAGTAGGAAAAATCAAATGTAACGTCCCCCAAAATCAGACCTCCCAGTCAGAAACTCAGAAAAACTTCAGAACTCCGATCTCGACATCCAAAATGGCAGCTCTCTGTATCAACAACAGTAAGTTTTGGGTGAAATGTGTTTATTGTACAAAGCACACTTATAAGAGTACATTTAAAACCAACATTACATGTAGTGCTTGCAACCCTAAGCTGTACATACTAAAAGTTTTGTTTGCATGTTGCACGTAGAGCTTAAAACTGTTCTTAAGAGGGATCTACAAACAGTGGCTACTTGGGAGGTGTGCCTCGCCATATTGGAATCCTGACTTCTCCGACTGCGGTAACCAGAAAACGGTTAACCCGAGTGTGATGTCATTTCCAGTTCCGACTTCCGAGGTAAATCGATCGCACCATAAGAGCATTCTAAATTGGATGAAAGCCAAACAAATGGACTTGTTTTTTTTTTTAGAAATTAACCATGGAAGGCATTGGTGTCGTAAACAGGGAGTAAATCTATCTGGAGTAGCGTAGACGTTCATATTCAGTCTCTGTTGAGCTACAACAGCTTTTTTAATGAAATGATTTAAATTTGGCTTTGCATTAGAATCTCTGGACCTTCACCCGTGCTTGTTTCTACTGAAGCAATAATGTTGTAAATAATAAAACTGATCTGAACACAGCTTCCCCTCTGTTCTCTGGTCCGTTTCCTGACAAACTGGAGAAAATCTATGACTCCATTTTCTTGTTGAGGGTTGAATTTTCACCTCTGACCTTAAAAGTGTTTGTCGCTGTAATGAATATTGTTTCCAGACGAAACGGGGCGGGCTGCTGTCTGCCGTGGGTTCCAGAACATGTATGGAAACAGGTAGAAGTGCTGCATCTGCCCTCTCGACGCGCCGCTTCTTCCTTCAGAGCTCTGATCAGAACCACATGTGCTCCGTGCGTGACTGTTTGGCACGTAAAAACGATCTTTACGATTCTCTCGCATGCCTTTCATAGCCATGATCTCAATCCACATAGGAGTCTGGTGTCTGCGGTTTCTGGATGGAGCATCATGTAGAACATTTAACACACACACACACACACACACGCACGCACGCACGCACACACACACACACACACACGCACGCACGCACACACACACACACCATTCCAGCATAAATGACTTTACTAAACATCTGTATAACAGCTGGTGTATAAATTTGAATGGAAGAAAATTCAAAGATGTGAGGATCGGTGTTTGTGTTTACGTATCATGATTTCCACAGGCTGCATTTACTCTCAAAG